ACAAAAACATAAAAGCTAACAACTAACAGGTAAATTTAAACAAGAAATTAAGATGTCGCTCGGCATATACAATAATCACTCTCGAAATGTACATAAACTCTCCCAAACAGAATATCGTCAGTCACAAGCTTCAGGAAGAAAACAATATTTCTATACGCCAGAATCTAACAAAAGGGAAATACAAGAAGTGTTTGACATGGGAAAGAGTAGATAGGGACTCCGAGGTCTCCAGACGCGGCAGATATACCTTGAAGTCTCTACCGCTGTCTCGCCTAAAAGATAATGCGGCTGATGAGCGGTACCTGGATCTGCACACGAAAAACATGTGCAGAGAAGGGCATGAGTACACCACAACGTTACCTAGTAAGTGCCAAGCCTAACCTCGATCGAGTAATGATGAGGCCAGGTTAGGGGCCTACCGGTATATATATAATAAAATAAGATAGAATGAAATACCGCAGTAAAATAAACACAAAAAATTAAACAAGAATGAAATCATAGAAGACAACAGCTCAGTACATAGAGAAAATAAAAGGGGATCTCCCAAGATACCGTCTCGTAGTCCCAAACATAAATGTGCAGGGGGATCTCCTGGAATACTGTTCCGTAGTCCCAAAGTAAATATGCAGGACAGGGGGATCTCACGGAATACCGTTCCGTAGTCCCAAAGTAAATATGCAGTACAGGGGGATATCCCGGAATACCTTTTCGTAGTCCCAAAGTAAATATGCAGCTCAACCAACAGAAACAACAGTTACAGCAAGAAAACCTGCAATTGAGACTAAGTTCAAGTCAAGGAAAAACAAGAATTTCACTAAACATGTTGCACAGAGTTCAGATAGGCAGTTAAGACACGTAGGCATGCTATTCTAAACTAAACACCATAGTTACATATGCTAGTGTAGCTCAAATAAGGAGAAACGGGTTATTACTTAGTGAAAAATGGATTTTTTCAACAATTAACCTGTGTACATACTCGTTACCTCACGTACATGGCGCTCACATAACAAAACATTACCAAATCCTAAGGGGTATTCCCCCACACAAGGTTAGGCAAACCACTTACCTCGAACCAAGCTCAATCAATCAGTCACAATGCCTTTCCCACGAATATCCGTCTCTGAGTGGCCCAAATCTAGCCAAAACCAATTACATAACATAAATATAACTACAAGAAACTAATCTAGCTAATGAAATCAAAGCTAACACAAGAAATTGGAAAATCGCCCAAAAAGCCTCCCCGGGCCCACGTCTCGGAATCGGGTAAAAGTCATAAATTACAAACACACATTCACTCACAAGTCTAACCATACAAAATTCACTCAAATCCGATACCAAAATCTCGATCAAAACCCCAAAATCCGGTCTAAGAACGTTTCTCAAATTCTACCAAATTCCTCACCCAAATTCCTTAATTAAATGATGAAATCAACTATAGATTAATGGAATACAACCAAAAACGAGTTAGGAATCATTACCCAATAGCTTTCTCTGAAAATCCTTCAATTTATCGCCTAAATTCGAGCTCTCAAGTCCCAAAATTGAAAATGAGATAAAACCCTCGAAATCCTCTCTTTTCTGCCCTGCGAACTCACTTCTACGAACCTTCAACCGCACCTGCGGGAAAATCATCGCAGGTTCAAAACTCACTTAAGAGGAGCTGGGTCCGCATTTGCGAACAAGGGCCGCACTTGCGCTCCTTTTCCGCTTCTGCATGTCCACTTCTGCGGGTCTATAGCCACACCTACGGCTCTAGATGGACAGGGCCAAAACCGCTTCTGTGGCACCGCACCTGCGGCCCAAAGTGTGCAAGTGCGATCACATTAGGTGCAACAGCTTCAGCAATCGCATAAGTCCCAAACTCAATCTGTTAAGCGTCCGAAACACACCCGAGGCCCCCGGTACCTCAACCAAACATACCAACCAGTCCTAATACACCATATGGACTTAGTCGAGTCCTCAAATCACATCAAACAAAGCTAAAATCACAAATCACCTTCATATTAGAACCTAAAGAACTTGAAACTTCAAAATTCTACAACTGATGCCGAAACCCATCAAATGACGTCCGAATGACCTCAAATTTTGCACACAAGTTATATACAACATTGTCGACCTACTCTAACTTCCGAAATTAGAATATGACCCTGATATCAATATTCCACTACTGATCCAGATCTCCAAAAATTCAACTTTCGCCATTTAAAGCCTAAATAAGATACGGACCTCTAAAACACAATCCGGACACGCCCCTAAGCCCAAAATTACCCAATGGAGCTGACGGAACCAATAGAACTCCATTTCGGAGTCGTCTTCACACAAAACCGACTACGGTCCAAATCCTAAGACTTAAGCCTCCATTTAGGGACTAAGTGTCCCAAAACACTCCAAAAACCAAAACGAAACCTCCCGGCAAGCCACAATAGAAGAAAAAGACACGGGGGAAATACTTAATAGAGGATCGGGGCTATAACTCTCAAAACGACCGCCAGGGTCGTTACCGCTATTAGGGTCCACACAAAGTTGTGTGATAAACTATTGTACCTTGGTATCATCAAAATAACTGTCCATGACTTCAGTTATCCATTTGGGCTGAGTGACCGTGAGCCCTTTGCATTCAGCTTCATCAAATTTTCTGGACAATGCATCTGGTGCAACATTCTCCGCCCTTTTTCTGAATTGTATTACATAGCTCAGTCTAAGAAACTTTGTGACTCCTTTATGTTGTAGTGAAGTGGTGATCCTTTGTTCCTTAAAAAAATTTGGAATAGAATGGTTAGTCTTGATAATAAAATGGTGTGGTTGTAAGTAGTGTCTCCATTTATCCATAGCAATGAGCAATGCAATCAGCTCTTTTTCATATGTAGATAGACCCAAATGCCTATAGCTTAAGGCTTGACTCAAATAGGCAATATATCTTCCATCCTGTGTCAAGACTGCCCCAATTCCTCTCCCACTAGCATCCACTTCCACTGTAATGGCTTAGAAACATTCGGTAAATCTAGCACTGGAGCCTTTACCATGGACAATATTAATTCCTCAAAGGCCTGGTAGCTTCTACATTCCACCCAAAATTCCCCTTTTTAAGCAATTTTGTCAATGGTTTACTAATTAAAACAAAAATTTTTATGAACCTGCGGTAGTAACCAGTCAAGCCCAGAAATCCACGGAGTTTCTTGATAAGTTTAGGTTGTGCCCACTGTAGCATAGCTTCTATTTTGTCTTCATCTATGCTGACTCCCTCACCACTAATTATGTGTCCCAAATAACTCACCTCAGTCTAAGCAATATTGCATTTCGATTCTTTGGCAAAGTGATGGTTGACTCTTAAGAGATCAAACACAATTTCCAAATGCACAACATGCTTTTCAATATTGGTTTTGTAGATAAGGATGTCATCAAAAAATACAAGCACACATTTTCTAAGACAAGGACCAAAATTTTTGTACATGAGTGCTTGAAAAGTAGCCGATGCATTTGTGAGCCCAAAGGGCATTACCCTGAATGCCAAAAGTCTATGGTGGGTCCTAAAAGCAGTTTTTTGGAATATCAGCCTCTTTCTTACGAATCTGGGGGTAACCAGATCGTAAATCAAGCTTAGAAAAATATTGAGCCCCATGAAGCTCATCCAACAAATCCTCCACGATTGGTATAGGGTGTTATATCTGATTTTAACGATGCAAATAATATATCTGTTCTATGTGCAGGAACACATGGATAGCACTCAAAGATTGAAGAATCAATGAGAGAAGATCAAGGAATCAATGGTTAGCCACGAGATGAAAGAAATCAATCAGAGAAATTAAGGAAAGAAATCCGAGATTATAGAAGATCAAGGAATCAATGGACAGCTACGAGATGGAAGGAATCAAGGAAAGAAATCCGAGATTAGAGAAATCAATCAAAGCCAAGACGGAATTAATCAAGCCTAGACTTAAGGAATCAAATAAATCAAGCGTATCCAAATCTGGAAGGAGCAAGATTTTGGGAAGCATATATGGAAAATCATCAAGTCTCTCGTCAAGCATAGCCGCTGTTGTATAACTTTATTCTTGGAAAGAATCAATTTCTTTCCAAGGATCAAATCTCTTGGGTTCGCAAATCTCTCCAGAAACTGAGCCTCTCACAAAGTATTTAAACTTGTATCTGTACCCTAGAGCATATACTTTTATCGAACCAAATACCCTTTCGTTATTCTACTACAAACAAACATTGTAGTTCTACTAGATCTGTTGTGTAACAAATTAGAGAAAAAGAGAGAACAACACTGGTGAGGCATTGTATCAAACGAAACGAGTGATATAGGAACTAAGCTATTAGTGTAGATCACACCATTCTCTGTGTACTCAAAGAAACTCGTTCACTAAAAGAGAACTCCCTAGCAACCCAAGGGGACTGGACTAGGATTCACACTGAATCCGAACCAATATGAAAACTCTGGTGTCTTTAATTCTTGCATTCAATTTCTACATCTTAAATTTTGTCTTTACTAGTATCAGGCTCTTATATCTAGTCGACTAATTGTAAAACTAGTCAACTGATAGCTATTAAGTTTAAAAATAAATAATTCACCCCCCCCCCCCTCTTGTACTTTCA